CCACCACCACCACCACCACCACCACCACCATCACCACCACCATCGTCACCATCACCATCACGACCACAACCATCATCACTACCATTATCATCGAAGACACTCACACTAGCTCGCAAATCATCAGCACCATCACCACCATCACCACCATCACCACCACCACCACCACCACCACCACCACCATCAGCACCACCACCACCATCACCACCATCACCACCATCACCACCAACACCACCACCACCACCACAACCGTCACCACCCTTCCACCTCCACCACCATCACCACCATCATCACCACCATCACCACCAACACCACCACAACCACCTCCACCACCACCATCACAACCCCTCCACCACCACCACCATCAGCACCACCATCATCACCACCATCACCACCAACACCACCATAACCACCTCCACCACCACCATCACAACCCCTCCACCACCACCACCATCAGCACCACCATCATCACCACCACCACCAGCACCACCACCACCATCACCACCACCACCACCACCACCACCACCATTACCACCACCACCACCATCACCACCCTTCCACCACCACCACCACCACCATCACCACCCTTCCACCTCCACCACCATCACCACCATATCACCACCACCATCATCACCACCCCACCCCACCCCCTCCCGGGAAGTTGCACATTTATTTTACGTTAAAAGAAGGGGTAAGAGGTTTGACTTCGTGGACCCACTTGCCCCGCCAATGCGTAACAAAAATATTATCGATTAACATTGTATTGTATGGATATTCTAGGGAACCCAAGGGCCTGTGTATGTGTCAGTCAAAGGGGCGTTCTGGGAAACCCGAGGGCCTGTATATGCGTCTCTCAAAAGCGTGTTCTTGAAGACCAAATGGTCTGTATATGTCCTTCTCAAAGTCCCAAGGGTCTGTATATGTCTCTCGAACGGATTTCTTAAAACCCGAGGGCCTGTGTATGTGTCTCAGAAAAGGGTTTCCTGTAGGAGACCCGAGGGCCCCAATTGGTTCCAGGAGATCCAAGGGTCTGTTTATGCACCTCCTAAAGGGTGTCCTAAGAGTCCCAAAGAAATGTTCACGTGTCTCTCCAATGAGTGTTCTGCATATATGTTCCCTAAAGCGGTGTTCTAGGGAGACCCGAGGGCCTGAATAGGTGTCTCTCAAAAGGAGACCCACTGTTCTGTATATCATATATTATTGAATGGTTTAGTAACACGCATTAGCGGATCTCGGTAACCTTCATTTTGAATTCTGCTACATTGAAATAACATTATCTCTTGGGAGACTTTGTACCATTTTTGGGAAGTTTTGAAATTGATTCTGGCGAAACTTGACAAATGAAAGGAACATTGCAGTAAGAACTTGAGTTAAACTGTCCTGTTTAGGATTAAGGAAAAAAAGAAGAAAATGTTTCAACCAATTAGAAGCTTTGTCCTCCATCCCAAAAATTGGTCATTCGATCGGCCTGGAAAAAAATAAAAATTATAATACTTGGTCACAGGGCCATGGTATGTATTGAGCATGTATACGTGAATTTGTGAATGATTTTGTTACAGTATACATATGTGCTTGCGTTATATAAACACAATTCCTTTGTAATCATCTTACAGTAACGTTCCTCGCGATACACGTTTACATTATCATACTGCCATTTATAGCGGGGATGAGCTTCAGGCTTTTCCATGTTTGGCAAAAGCTTTGGGCTTGAGAGTCACAATAATCCTATTACTTGTCAGTGTAATAGATATTTAAATCTCCAATGTAATCACATGTCTACTTATATGTGTGACTGCGCATCACTGCAAATATCGACTGCTGATAGCTTCGTCTGCTCATCTCGTTTACTGGTTTTCTCCCCTTGTCTAATTAAGACGTTTCACGTAAATGCAAGAACATTACCCGCTGCCGCGGACGGGAAAATATCCTAATGATTAAGATGTGTACAACATAAAGTTAGTTAGTTCGTAGGAGGTTGTTTTACGTCGGCATTCAATTTTCAGAAGCACTGACAGTACATTGGTCCCACACACCACTAACAGAGTTAAGAGGTTAGGCAACGATATTGCAACAGACAAACATGGCGAAATATTGACTTCCTGCCTACCGTTCTCTGTATCGAATAGTAGTATAATTTTTTTCCGAGCACGTTCTTTGATGTTTCTCACCTGCATTGTGAGGGCCCGCCTTCTGACTATCTCCCATAGCTATCATATTGTTACAGGCTCTGTAGATGTGATGTCAATGGTTTTAATGTGGATTCAAATCCCTAACATCACCTGCCGCCACTTGCAATTGTTTTAATACATATTTGTTGCACGCTCTGTAAGTGTGATATAGGACAAAATGTGTTACTCCCTTTTGTTTTATTACAAATTTGCTGCACGCACTGTAAGTGTGATACAGGACAAAATGTGCGTTACTCCCTTTTGTTTTATTACAAATTTGGTTCACGCACTGTAAGTGTGATATAAGACAAAACGTGTGTTTCTCTTTTGTTTTATTTCAAATTTGTTGCACGCTCTGTAAGTGTGATATAGGACAAAATGTGGGTTACTCCCTTTTGTTTTATTTCAAATTTGTTGCACGCACTGTAAGTGTGATATAGGACAAAATGTGTGTCACTCCCTTTTATTTTATGACAATTTTGTTCGCACTGTAAGTGTGATATAGGACATAAGGCGGATTATTTCCTTTTGTTTTATTACAAATTTGTTGCACGCACTTAAGGTGTCATGAAGGTTGACTTCAGGCGGATTACCTTCCCTTGTGTATAACAATTTGTTAATCGCACTGTAAGTGGTTTTTATTTGTTTGTTTGAGTGGTTTTACGTCCGCTTCATTTAAGGTGTGATGTCGATTGACCTAAGGTGGATTACATCCCCTTGTGTATTACAAATGTGTTACACTGTGTAGGTGTGATGTCGGTTGACCTAAGGTGGATTACATCCCTTGTGTATTACAAATGTGTTACACTCTGTAGTTGTGATGTCGGTTGACCTAAGGTGGATTACATCCCTTGTGTATTACAAATGTGTTACACTGTGTAGGTGTGATGTCGGTTGATCTGAGGTGGATACAGACTTAACTCCCCTTGTTTCATGTCAGTCTGTTGCTCGTTAACGACATTCACAGTCATCAAAGTCCTCTAGTTCCTGGTTGATTGAATCACAAAGAGAAACGTGTTTCTGGTAAATTTACGACAACGACTTAAACGTAGTAACTGGTTGTCAATGTTCGCTCGTGCAGCAAGTTGATACATATTTCATGTATTAAATGAATTTACACCTTAACATTTTGTAGGGGGGGAAAAACAATGCTACACACATTTCTCCGAACCTGAATTCGTACACAAACCAGTATATCATTATGTGTGCGACACATGAAATGAAATTCACTTACGCTACTTTTTTAGAGTCAATTCTCGGAAACATTTGTTGTGTTTGTGTTATATACATACATACATGTATACCTAACATCTTGTGATCATTTACCTAGAAATCCTGCTAGCAGTTAAATCGAAGTTACATTTACGTTTAATTTCCGGAGAAAATATTCTATATTTAAATTTTTGTAAACTTCAATATCCGGTTGGATGAATATTTCTCGCTCTATACTGTATATACGTCTAACACCAATGGTGTCACGTTGTGTGTCCGAACGCGGACATACACATGTCACATTTCATGTAATTGTCTATTGACAGCTTTGATAGCGATATCGGTTATCTGAGGTCAACAAAATGGCCGGAGGCTATATGCACCATACCATAACACAATATCCACGAGACTACATTGCCTTGTATAAAATATGTGTGTACTTAAACATTTACCGATAACCAGATTAGGAATACGACATTTACAAATGTATAGATAAGCAATATCACGGCGGTATTTTATGGACGGTCACAAGAAGCAACTATTCGCATAATAATGAGATAGGTTTAATACACATTTTATTTGTTTGTCTGTTTTGTAGATCTGACGCCCAAAGTTTCACCGAGGGGAGGCGACAGTAAGCAGTTTGTCGGATCCTAGTTATAAATTATTTACGTCATTTTGTTCGACGGACCATATTGCTCGGCTCAGCGTGACAAGAGTCCAGTTTCTTGTATTTTCTGCCTATACAAGACCCTGGCTCGTGTCTTTAAGAAATGCCACTAAGGACACACCATAACCACATCATTACTTTCATTTGGCTTGCATGTAACGGGTCATGCATTATTAAGGAGGCTGCTGCTAAACATCAGGCAACTATTTGGTGACTGTCTCGGCCCGCGATAATTCGTTGGACAAAAACCACGTGTATCTGTCCGAGATGCTGGTAGTGTAATAATCACCAAGGCCGCCTGTTGTAATTTCAAACCCGTAAACTTACACTAAATTTTGAGATTAAGTGTGGCAGTGGAGAGTTCTGTAGCATAACGTTGTACATTTTCGCTCGGAGATGTATACGTAACGTAGCTACAGACGAGGCGGCCAAAGAGAACAGACGAAGGACAATTAATTTCAGTAGTGCCGGCGGACATGTTGGGCATGCTCGTCTGGTAGTAGACAAAATATAGGTTGTCGACATGTTAAATATCGCCATCGTTTGCTGTCATTGGTTTCTCCAGTAAAGTTGCACAATAAACAAAGACGATGCACAACCCAATATTACAGAGACGACGATCCAGTCTGTTTAAGGGACAGGATGGCACTCCTCTGAATCTGACTGCAGCAAGGAAGCGTTCCGAACGCGATGGTTTACTAACACCGGAACGGGTATCACCGCCCGTCGCGCTGGAACGGAAGTCATCCTTCCGAAATGGCGAAGGACTCACAGGACGAGTGCCGGGAACAATCACTCCACCAGTATTTGTACAGAAGAAACATTTCATGTTTAAGCATGATAACTATCAGGAACAGACTAGGGAAAACTTGTTTTCCAAAAATTACTTCCCTAAAAGTAAAGCTAGACATGAACGCGCCAAAAGACATACTGACGAATTGCTGGCAGACGACAACTATAAGCGCTTTGTCATTATGACGATCTCTATGAGTTTATTTATCATTGTTGTGATTTCTGTCTCCTTGTATCAGATGATTTACAAGAATTTCACGTGACGCCATACAATACACATATTTTATTTTATTTTTTCCTGTCCTATAGAGATAGCTTCGTCTTATAAGCTGTGTTTATCCAAGGGGGAACTCGAAGAGCCGCATCATTTTGAAAAATTACTAAAACCACTTTGTTTTAAATGGTGTAGCCGNAGTTGGACTGACTACTTGAGTCACTATGAATTGATATCCAGGTTGAATCAGTGGACAGATGAAATGAAGAGTCTTAAGTTGGCTGCATCCATGACTGGAACAGCAAGAGGCGTCATATCAGATCTTAAGTGTGAAGACATGCAATCATTCAAAGGTTTGGTCAGCATTTTAACAGCTAGGTTCGAACCGAAAAATCAGTGCGAGATGTACAGAGCTCAAATTACCTCCAAGACAAGGAAACCAAATGAGAGTCTGACAGATCTGGCCCAAGATGTCAAACGCCTAGTGAGATTAGGGTATCCTACAGCACCTGGAGAAGTAAGAGAAAGTTTGGCTTACAGATGTTTCAGAGAAGCCCTAACAGATAGAGACATGGAATGGGCAGTATGCCAGTCAAGTTCTGAAATCATTGATGATGCATTGAATGCAGCCCTGAAATATGAAGCCTTTATGGTGAGTCACCAGAGGAAAAGTGGCACAGCTCGTCACACTGTACGTCAACAGACTTTTGATGAGTATGGCCAGGAAGATGAATTCAACATAGCAAAAATGGAGGAACGTAGAATGAATACAGAGACGCGTACCTGTTACAACTGCTCAAAACCAGGTCATATCATGAGAGATTGCAAAGAGCCAAGAAGACAGAGACAATCACCTAGGGAGGGGAGACAACCCAATGGAACTCATCAACAGAATGTTCCTTACAGTAATAATTCAGGTTCACGAACTGAGGAGAGGAGTCATTTAAACCAGTAAGGGTTAGGACAAAGGGGCATGTTTTAACCCAAGAGGAAAAAGATAGAGAAAGTATGAAGGAAAACAAAGAGGGACCCCAATGTGTGTTTGAGATTAAACATACAAGTAATGATGGATTATTTTTACAGGTATCTCTGTATAGTAAGGAGATAGATAGTTTATTGGATACAGGAGCAACTATTTCTGTACTTAGTAGCAAGGTATTTCTCGAGTTACCAGAGAGTAGACGACCAGATTTGAGCAGAAATTGTGGACAACTGAGAGTGGCCGATGGGAAGGTCATTACGCCGATGGGTATGGCAATGTTTCCACTGGAGATTTCGGGGAAAATTAAGAAGTGTCGTATGATAGTAGCTGATATTGAAGTACCGGCTGTCATTGGATATGACTTTATGAAACAGAATGACTGTGTTATGGATGTAGGGAGAGGAACAGTGACCTTCAATGGTAAGGCAGCCAAATGTTACTTGGAGAGCCAGAGGTCAAGATCTGTATTCAAACTGTCACTAACAGAGAATGTGGTGATACCAGCCAGTAGTGAGATGATATTACCAACTAAGATAGTAGGGGACATACCGGTGGGACACCAAGCTATCATTGATGAAGGAAGCTGTAAGTTGACGAAGATAGGAGTACTTGTGGGGAAAAGTATATTTGACCCGTCATCAGAGGTCATACCAGTCCGAGTAGCCAATATGACCAACCAACCACAGAGGATATATAAAAAGACAATCACAGCAGAATGTATGGTGGTTCGATCATGTCATGTGAGGGACGAAGAACAATCAGCTGGACCGGAGGCAGAATACTTGTGCCAATTGGATGAGACACCACCTGTTCCGGATGACAGTGTTCCAGAGTATCTAGAGGTAACCGTAGAATCCAGTAAGCAGCATCTGGATGATGACAAGGTCAAGCAGCTGAAACAGATATTAAACATTAATAAGAATGTGTTTGCAAAGGATAAAGATGACTTAGGAAAAACCAAGCAAGGTTATCATAAAATAGATACTGGGAATGCAAGGCCAGTTAAACAAGCACCTCGGAGGCTACCATTAGCCAGGAAGGAGATAGCTGAACAGGAAGTCAAACGCATGCTTAAGGCAGGAGTAATAACACATTCAAAGTCACCTTGGGCATCGCCGATAGTTCTTGTGAAGAAGGCAGATTCATCAGTGAGATTCTGTATCGACTACAGAAAGTTGAACGAACTTACCATAAAGGATTCTTATCCTCTACCGCGGATCGATGATTCTCTCGACACCCTCAGAGGTTCAAAATGGTTCTCTGTGATCGACATGCAGAGCGGATATTGGCAAGTGGAAGTCGACCCATCAGACAGGGAGAAAACAGCCTTTGTCACCCATAATGGCCTGTATGAATTTAAATCAATGCCTTTCGGATTATGTAATGCTGGAGCAAGTTTTCAGCGTCTCCTGGAAAGCGTTTTAGCACCATGCCAGTGGCGTACCTGTTTGATATACATCGATGATGTTATTATATTCTCCGAGACATTTGAAGAACACCAGAGGAGGCTACAGGAAGTTTTAAGTAAAATAGGAGAAGCAGGACTCAAGATTTCTCCCAAGAAATGCAAATTATTCCAAAAGAAGGTCAAATTCTTAGGTCACATTGTGTCAGAGGAAGGAGTTTCCCCTGATCCAGGAAAAATTGAGGCAGTAAAAGCATGGTTAGTCCCCAAAACAGTAAAAGAGTTGAGAAGTTTTGTTGGACTTGCATCCTATTACAGAAAGTTTATCAAAGGCTTCGCCACCATCGCGAAACCTTTACACAAGCTCACGGAGAAGGACAGCATCTTCAACTGGAGCAAAGAATGTGAAACAGCTTTTCAGACTTTAAAAACCCGGTTAGTGACCTCACCAATCTTAGCTTACCCAGATGTGAAGAAAACTTTCATCTTAGACACTGATGCTAGTGGATTTGGAATTGGCAGTGTATTATCTCAAGTACAAGAGGATGGTGAACATCCTGTGTGCTATTATAGCAGAAGTCTGACCAAGTGTGAGAGACAGTACTGTGTCACACGCAGGGAGCTGTTAGCTGTAGTAGAATCCGTCAAACATTTTCATCACTATCTGTATGGTACTAAAGTCTTGATCAGAACAGATCATGGAGCTCTCAATTGGTTGCGCCGTTTCAAGAATCCGGAGGGGCAGTTGGCTCGATGGATAGAGGTACTTGACACCTATGACTACACAATCCAACATCGAGCCGGAAAATTGCATGGAAATGCAGATGGATTGTCGCGGAGGCCTTGTAACTCCTGTAGATACTGCGACAGAAGGGATCACAATGAATGGGAAACCCAGGAACACCAGAAATTGGAACATGAACATGTTCGAATGTTAGATCATGATAACAATAACGATATAAAAAGGAAGGGGAAAAGTGGAAAACAGAGTATTCGGAATCAGGATCCATTAGTAGAATGTAATGAAGCTTCCTCCAACTGGATGCAGGGAAGAGATACAGAGGAAATCAAACAAGCACAAACCAATGACCCAACCTTGAAACATGTACATATTTGGAAAACAGAAGGGATGCGACCCGAATGGAAGGATATTTCCAACCTCTCAGTAGAGGTCAAAGCTTATTGGTCCCAGTGGAATCGAATTAGTCTCCGAGAAGGTATTTTATACCGGAAATGGATGGATGAGGACACCAATAATGAGAGGTGGCAGTTAATAGTACCAAAATGCTGGCATCGGGAAATATTACAAAAGTTACACAGTGATGTTACTGCAGGACATTTTGGGATAACACGCACTATGGCTAGGATCCGCAGTAGATTTTATTGGAGTGGATATTATACCCATACACGTAGATGGATCATCAGGTGTCCAGACTGTCAAGCTCGTAAAAAATCTACACGGTTCAATCGAGGGGAGATGAAGCAATATTTGGTAGGTGCACCAATGGAGAGAATAGCTTTAGACATAATTGTAAATCTTCCGGAAACGGTTAACGGAAACAAACATCTATTGGTTGTTGTGGATTACTTCACCAAGTGGGCTGAAGCCTTTCCTATCCCAAACCAGGAAGCTGAAACAGTAGCAGAAGCATTGGTGAATGGATTTATATCTCGATATGGAGTACCAAAACAAATACACAGTGATCAAGGGAGACAATTTGAAGGGAAGTTGTTTAAAGAATTATGTGACATGTTACAAATACACAAGACACGGACTACGTCCTATCATCCTCAAGGTGACGGGATGGTTGAAAGGTTAAATAGGACCATTGAGGAGATTCTCAACAAAGTCATCAACAAAAATCAGAGGGATTGGGAAAAACTGTTGCCTATAGTAATGTGGGCGTATCGGTCGTCGGTTTCCCTTTCACTATCCGACTGCTTTTTGCTTGATGTCTAGACTTAGGTACTTACCATAAGACATTTCTAGGAGGAGTAGGAGAGTTATTCTTGAGCTAAATCATGTACAAAATTCACACGCTTATAGTGAAACAGTGAGCCGACGATTTTTCCGATTTTGGGATGATCTGAGGTAACCACATTCCATGATAAGATAAAGGATATAATGGGTACCAAGATGTAACGGGGATATAAGATATGGGACATAAGTGATGTACTCATGTATAACATTATATAGGGATGACCTGAGGAAACCCCATTAGATAGGGACAGAGGATGACTTCAGGTAACCACATTAGATAGGTACGAGGATAACTTGAGGTAACCACATTAGATAGGGACAAAGGATGACCTGAGGTAACCACATTAGATAAGGACAGAGGATGATTTGAGGTAACCACATTAGATAGGGACAGAGGAGGACCTGAGGTGACCACATTATATAGTGACAGAGGATGACTTGAGGTGACCACATTATATAGGTACAGAGGATAACTTGAGGTAACCACATTAGATAGGGACAAAGGATGACCTGAGGTAACCACATTAGATAAGGACAGAGGATGACTTGAGGTAACCACATTAGATAGGGACAGACAATGACATGAGGAAAAAACCCCATTAGATAGGGACAGAGAATGACTTTCGGTTACCACATTAGATAAGGACAGAGGATGATTTGAGGTAACCACATGAGATAGGGACAGAGGAGGACCTGAGGTGACCACATTAGATAGGGACAGATAATGACCTTAGGTGACCACAGTAGATAGGGACAGAGGAGGACCTGAGGTGATCACATTAGATAGGGACAGATGATGACATTAGGTGACCACATTAGATAGG